GAATGAGTTCAAAATGTCCCTAATATACTATGTAGTAGGTACATAGATAGGTCGTACGAATTGTAGAGCTGATATAATTGTATTGAAAATTTAATTAAAATTTAAAATTATATATCGTTAGTGAACATAATCATTAATTACTTTTTTTTAGTATTTTTTTAGAATTCATATAAATGAAGTTATGCGCATATTATACAGGTAAACAGGTAGTATGCCCGACACGATAACATGTTTTTAATATAAAAAAATCTATACTGTAGCTTGTTTAATTAAGTGATGTTTTCGATATTTGCTATCCCTCGTTGCATATTCATATTATTATGATGTGTTCATATACCTACTTGAAAATATTTTATAATGCCTACCTATTCAAATATGTTATTAAAATATACCTTTTTACTTCACCAAATAACGAGTTTAGAGTTTGAATTTGTTTAAAGTTTTCAATTTCATAATAATATTATAACTACTACCTAATAAGACAAACGTCTCAAATTATAATAATTACCTATAGTAAATTTTCGATGATATTGTAGTCTATAAATTTAGTTTTTATTAACTGTGTTATACAATTGCCTTAGTAAATTTAATTTATGAAAACACTTGTAAAAATAACAATTAAACATGTAATCTGCAGCAATAATAATTTATAATAATAAATATCAGTATAAATTACCGACCTTGAGCTTAACTAATATTTACATCGAAGATGGAATGTATTTAAATTGTTGTTTCTTAGAAAAAATTTAAGTTGAAGATTGGTTTACATTTTTCCTATTGCTGGATGAATATCCATGAAACGAAACAGTTATTATATTTTGTAATTTTTTGGTTGATTCATATCTATTCGATGTTATTTTATATGAGTTTTAGTAAATTTAGATACAACAATCGTTACCTATGTAAATAATTAAAATTCTAATTCTATAGTAGTTCGTCTTGTATTTTTATATCATACTGGAAGGACCAAGAAGGAAAGCAATTATATACAAATACGTCAATTTAAGCCTACAAAAAAACACAAAAATGGAAGTTCACGTTAGATTTTATAAAGGCATGCTATTATGTTATATATTTTGTACACAATCTAATATGTACAAGAAATTTGTAAAAAATAATATGTTGAATTATAATTTTTTTTTACTAGTGTTAAGCAATATATAGGTTTATGTACATTTTAAACAAATATTGATTGGTAATTTAAAAAAAAACTTAAGTACAACTTTAAGGTTTTTAACTAAAATATATACAATATCTGTATTAACATTATTATGTTTCATGTTAAATGAGAAAACTAATCTTTTTTATGAGTTTACATATTAATATAATATAATATTCTGGAAAGGCTATTTTGTATCATCTTACAATACTCCTATAATTTAATGATATAGGGTTGGAGTCATTTTCAGTCTGAAATATCAAATTGCAGTGAAGGAACCTAATTATTGTTATAAGTACGATAAAATACAATTTGAAACGATTTAATACTTTGGATTAAAGTATTTATTGCAGAGGATAGCAATGTTTTATGCCGACAACACATACATTATTTACTTATTTTTATTTAAATACTACTTTTGAAACGTTACTAAAATTGTGATAATATTGTAATTTATCTCAAAATTCACCACAGTTGCATCAAAATATGAGCTACATAATGTATCATTACACATACAATGATAATAAATAACTCAACTGTAAGACATGTTTCCCTTATCATAGATTTGAATTTGTATAATAATATGCAATATAATATGAACAATATTATAATATACTTTTGATAAATTATTTTATATTTTTAATTTTAAAATCTTGTTCAATGTTTCCTTATATCCCTATTACACTACATTATTATATTACACATTGTATAAATGAAAATAATTATTTTATTATACAGTTATACACTTATTTATGATATAGTGATATGGTGTAAATAGCTGGTAATTATCTCACTTATATACATGTAGATATTACAGTGCAATTCGTAAAATAAACTACGAATATAATATCATATAAATATAATAAAATATTATTAATAGCATAAGGCTGCACTACAACTATGGGCAATGACAGGAAAAATCATTATTTTATAGTGCTTTTGACAAATACTCAATTTTAATTCATCCTCAGATTTTATCTATTCTATTCACATTTTATTGTTGGATCTAATGTTTTTCAGCGGATATATAATTTAAAAATGGTTTGGAGTATTATTAGAGAACATTCATTTTAATATGTATTTATGTTTATGTACTGCGAGACTGGATTAGTTAATTTTTTCCATTTCAGCCTAAGTTTTTGCTTTAAAATCATCACGCAGTCAATAGGAAGGTACTGAGGTTTGACATAATGATTAGAAAATTACTTGAAGCATTATTCCTATTATGCGATTTACATCTACGAGTACATGGGACGTCATATTATTGATCACAGTAAGGTGCTCATCGTTTCTTAAAACTTGTAGGTACTCTCATACCAAATATATATCAAAAACCAAAACTCACATTACAAAATTTGTATTAAAATGTTCAATATTGTCATGGATGATTGGTATAAACGTGATAAAAAATCACTTATTTCTTCACAACACAACACAGTTAACCGCAACGTGAATGCACAACATTATTTAAATTATTATTTTTAAATAAAGATGCGCCATCATTAATCATTAATGAAAAATCATTAAATAGAAATAGTGTTATAATGGAGTCAATGCAAATTAGACCATATGTTTATTTTATCAATTCACATTCTTGATACAATTTTCAAAACATTTTGACCCTTATTACCTGTCTGCATGTTAGAATCTAATAGGCTAACCATACGTTACAATAATTGTAAAGAAAAATCATAATCTAAAAAAAAAAAATATAGCTCCTACAAAATATTTTCTTTTATTCCTAGCCTTATAAAAATTTAATTTTCTAGGTTAAAATACATTGTGTTGGCATAGTTGTTTTTAAATAGTCTTAAATCTAATGCAAAAATATTTCCCAGTACTTCTAAATTTGATTTTATAGAGGTAATCACCTGCCTATGTTACTAAGTATATTATATAATTGGTAAGTTATATAATATATTTATACTATTATAACTTATAAGTAATACTGTAAGTTGAATTATTTTTTCAGACAACATTGTATTTGCTATATTATTATTAAAGAGTAATCATTATAATGGTACCTATAGAACGTTTATATTATATGTGATTATGGGTATTTTTTAGTCAGTACCTAATAGGTTTGTGGAATAAATACGCAAAAGATTTCTGCTAAAATAAAATTAATACTAATATTTTAAAAAAATCACTGTCATTGTGTATGAATAAAATAATAACGTATACAAAAATGTTCTTATCCCCACAAACAATATTTATAAATTAAACAAAATAACTGGAATCGTTATTCATCGTTTAAATACCTACATTTATCCACATTTGAACTTCATAGTTAAAATTTCTATAAAAGAAATCATGAATATCATGTAACTTTAATATTTTTAAATGCCAATAATAACAAATTTATAAGGAACATTTTATTTCCAGATTTTTGATTTAGTAGACAATTTTTTGTTGATTATATAGGTATGGAAAAAACATGACAAAATCGAAAACGTGAAATGTATATAATAGTATCTCATAATAGCTCAAAAAGAATCAATGTATTTTCTAAATTGTTGGCAGAGGCATTATCTAGACAATATTTGGTTTTAATAATACCTACACTGGTGGACATATAAATATATCAATATAATATAAGGGGAAATTAATATGCTAATTAATATCGACTTCACTGTTTAGTGTTTGTACGAACAAACTTTACTTAAAAAGAAAGAATTACACAACTTTAAATATTTACCAACATTTTTGTTTATATTGAAATTTCCATCACTATATTATATTATTGCTAGGTAGTTGATCCTTTCACGGCGTTTATTAATTAAATGCCCATAAATTTACACCTGTTTAAACTCTGTTAAACTGTTAAACCGCAAATATTTTGAACATTTATTTGTGTTGTTTTGACCAAATATAAATTACCGGTCTAAAATTATATTCAATCATAATCAAATATTATTTTCTTGATGAATCTGTTGTCGAACGTCTTATGAAAATCGTTCAAAAGCTGAGGATTTTTATTTGAGTCATCCGATTTAGGCCTTTGATTTTATATGATGGATATACTATAGGTACTTATTAATATTATTCTGCGGCTCCGGTCTGTAACGTTGACTATGACGAATTAAATAATGCTAGTGGATTGACAGGAAAAATCCCTTAAAATACAGGTTTTATATCATATCCAATCATAATAACTGTTTTTAATACTGTTTTTTTTCTGTTAAAAACATTTTCTGTGACAAATGGCAACAATATGCAAAAAAAAAAATGATATTTTTTGTGACTCAAATATGTTCAACATATCCATCCGGCCGGCGTTGTCCGTATTAAATAGGGGGCCGGTGAAACTCTCTGAGGAGATGAGTGTTGAGTTTTTGTGATCATACGAGTAGCATACCTATATTAACCCAGCGAGCTTTCACATTAAATGTTTAATTTTTAACTCTACAGTTTCAAAGTTATACCAAGTGTGTCGTTTTTACTTCATCGCTTGCCCGGTGGTTTTTGGCATGTTAAAAACTTTACAGTTTTCTACTTTGGAATGTATTTCATCGTCTAGCTATCAGTCACATCGCAAGTAATTTTAGTGCAACTAAGCCACTTATTATGAGAGCAGTAAATTATCAGAATTAAATTTAAAATAATAATAACTTATGATAATTTCAATATTAAGACAAAGTAGTTGGACATTTGAAAAATAATGTAAAAAAATTCAAAAAAATAATGTCCATCATGAATTATAAATTCCTGGTTTGAGAACCTCTTTAAAATGAGAATTTTGGAAAATCCTTTCTAATTTCACATCTCAATCGTCAGACGAACCGATATTCCAAATTTTTATAATATTTTTATTACATGAATTTTTTTGTTTTCATTGTAGTACATACCGGTGGCGGCCAGCACGTTGAGCCTGATGACGCAGTCGATCGACCGGTACGCGTCCATCAAACACCCGCGGCACAACAGGTTGCATCGGGACAAACACGTCGGGTATCTGGTGTCCGGCGTGGCGGCCGCGTGGACGGTGGCAGTGGTCGTCTCGGTGCCGAGGTACGCGTGGCCAGTCCGCCGGCTGATCGTGGACATGCAGTGGACGCGGTACTACGAGGCGTGCTACGTGGCCGTGGTGTTCGCCGTTCCGTGGGCCGCTGTAGCGTTCAGCCAGCGGGCCGTCAGCAGGACGCTGTACATCACGTCGCTCAAGGCGGCCGCGGCCCGCGGTCAATTGCCTCTGCCCATGCCCTTAATGACGGCCGAGTCCAAGCAAGTGATCCTAGTGGCGTCCATACAGAAGAATACAACTGTCCAGTCCAAGGTTAGTGGCTTGATAGTTGGTACGATAATAATGCTTAGTTTCAAATCTTTCGAGTGTCAGCTATGTTCACCCTCCAACGTCAGCCACCCTAATTCATATTTGACCATTATTTACTAAGTCATAATAATATATTGTCACCCGAGTGGCTACGCTTTCGGAGATGATAATATAGGGCGAGTTAATTTATAAGTAGGTATGTGACCTGTGAATATTACAATGTCACTTGTTAGGAACTGTGAATTCATAGAAATCAATATATTATAATGTACAGAAGTCTTGTTAATGTTTGAATTAGATATTTAAATATTTAACGAAAAAAAATGTTTCATTGTGTTTTTCTGTTTGAAATTAACTTTACTTTTTATATAGTTAGCAATAATAGCAGATGAAATTATTATTGTTTTCTGTAAGCAACCATTTGTAATTTGTATGCAATCGTTAATGCTGGTTGAAATACATTTCAAATAGTATTGAATTTATTAAAAGTATCTATTTTAAAACCAAATTCAATTCAAGTGTATTTTTATAAAATAGAATGACTTCTACAACTATGATCTATGTTATTATGGCTTCCATTACCAAAGCAAGTAATATGTTATTATTATTTTATTATACTTTGGCATTATGAAATTCTCACCAAAAATATTAATTTACACTAGGCTGTTATCATACCATGCATTTTTTAATTCCGAAGACAAGGGTTAAACCGATTTATATCGAATAATTAATGCACAATAACTGTTGTGACCGCAGCGGAATAAATAGGGATAAAATAATGATTTCACAGCCACGATGAGGGTAGCTGCAGGTGGCACACATATTATAAACGTCCAAACGTCCTTATTTGATATTGGTTTATTTTTGCAATAATTACTACGTGTAGTCTGCGTGAAATTTTTTTTAGTTGCGTACCTACGTTGTTGTGACAGTATTCTAATGTATATTTTTCTTAACACAGTTTTTTTAAATTTTTTTATGTTTCGTTATCGCCGCAGCGACCAGAATCTTAGCGATAGGCAATTTATCATAATATTTATTGGTTCTTTTGGATCGCTTATTTTGTTCTATTATTTTGTGTGCACGAATCGCACCAGCCTATAGTATATTTATTCATTGAATTAGGTACTTTATTTTATCATCTTTTTATTCGTTGACTCTATTATTGTGAGTCATTATCTCATACCTGTATTACGTTGCAGCTTTCTAAACTTATGTTGAGAATCCTTTTTATCCCCTCTGTGTCTTTCTGTTAGTTACCAGCTCATAGTTACGATTGTTGATATTAATAATGATATTTTATTGATAACCCGTAGCAACTGTTGCTGTACCTACATAGTCATTATAATTGTTTCCATCAAGATTTTACAATGGTTCATCAAAGTCAATTTATGCTATAGACAGTATTGAAAATCATCCATATTTGAGTACTTTGTTTAGATTCATACTAGCCAGTATAAAAAAATAGTTCCATTTTTTTAAAAATTATGTATTCACTTATAGTTGAACTGCTTTGTATTCAAATACGTTTAGAAGCCGGGAATTGAGCAGAATGAGCTTTCCTAAATTGCTTTTTTTCGTGCATATCGAGTATATAGCTATACCTAGCTATTTCAAGCTGGCATATTTATTTATTTTGTTTAATCTTTGTATTGCTGTGATTTTTTTTTATAATTATTGTTGCAACCTGGCTAATATATTTTAATCAGCCTGCCCCTAGGATATAACTTGTTAGTTATTGACCTGGTTACCAGAAATACAGAAATATAGACTATTACCATCACAAATCATATCATTACACTAAATATTATGACTAGTCAAACTGGCTTAATAGCTTAAATTATTATTAATTTGTTATTACATTTGTGTCACTGTGAACTGTATAGTTATTTTACCGTCCAATTTGTAATCAATTAATTATACAGCAAGTTAGCAACACTTTTTATAAGTATATTTCTGACATTTTTTAGAACTCACCCACACGCATATAAATTTACTTACAAACACACATGTTCACATAACACGCATTACGTAAGTAGCTTGTCAGTACTTATTTTCCTGGTAATTCTGATAACTGCCGTTCGAGCTACAAGTGACTATACACATCTACATCACTACACTCTGCGCACTACACATCCACCTATATTTATTCCATTGTTTTAAGTTCTAGGTGTTAGTGGTGAGCACAAAATTAATTGTTGTGGAAGTTAATTATTGGTCATTGGTGTTCGGGTGATTATATATAGCTGTACGTTTTCACCAATAGAATGGTCTAATGAGAATTAAAAAAGAGTTTATTTGCAGCTATATAAATATTAACTTAATCGAACACGCTCATTAGCATAATATGAATTAAAAATACGTTTATATAAAGATATATATCTCCAGAGTTAACTTAACCTAATGCGCCCTAATGAATAACCATTGCATACAACAGTTGTATTTATTATATTATAGTTATCAATATTGAAACCCGGTTGCCATTAATCAATACTTGCAAAGCTGAAATTGCTATGTAGTACATATTATTTAAAAAATTTGATTTCTATTGTGGCAAAAAAACATAGAAAAAAAGTAATATAATAAATAATAATATATTGATTCTCGGTTGATCAATAAGTCTCTCTAACGTAATATCCATTTCGCTACACAATTTCATGACAATATTTTCTTTATGTTCCCTTTTTATTTTTCCATTGTTATTTGTACCATTTTATTATAAAGTACACACAATAATAATAAGCTAATAACATAGATTCAAATTGAATTATTATTATTATTATAGTTACCTACCTACTGAAAAAAAAACGCAATTATAAAAATATATTTCCTTTGTTTATAACTAGTTATTTCTTGTTTAAAATAAAATATAACACTGTAGGTTTTACCCTATCAATTAAATATGTAAATTGATAACAATTTTACATTTAATCAAATATAAATCCAAAGTTATGTCATCGCCAATTAATTTTAACTTCAACGAAAGATTAACAAATTCTGGTAAAAATGAAAGAATTTATAATTTCCATTCAACAAGTATGGATGTTCTAAACTAAATTAGAGTTGCAAAATTCGATTAATTTGTAATGAAATAATGTATAAAGATGTTCAAAATAATTATACTTTTAATTAAATAATTCATTATGTGTAAAGTAAGTTATATATTAATACTATATGTACCATGAAACTCTAGTTCTGTATTTTTTGACGTTTTCTTTTATTAGTTTGATAATAAACAAATAGGATACATTTTTATTAGTGGACAAAGTGTTTGTGGACTTTAAAAAGTCGACATAAACGTAGCGTACTTAACTGTGTGGATAAACGTAGTGGACTTAACTGTGTGGATAAATCATATTGGCATCATTACCTATAATGTAACAATGGCGTGTTTTAGATGTCGACGGGTAATTTCATACATTCCCTAAGTCAAAACAACTTTTTTTTTTTGATTGTGGTGATACTTAACAACTATATCGACTGCAATGGTGGTACACTGTAGGCACCAAGTGTGAGATAAAACACTGAAACGTATAATACATGCCTACGGTAATACCATTATAATTCACAAACATTGGATAATAGACCACCGGCTATACATATACCGCATGTTATTATAATGTACACGATACGAACAAATCGTGTAATGCTCGTTATTCGAGGGAGGTTCGTTCACATCGATAAATCTATGATACCGATCGATACTGCAGCCAGCGTTTCCAGAACTTTAATTTAATCAAGCTTATTCTATTACCTAACCTTTAATATTATATACGTATGTTCAATTCAATACATACAGTATATATTGTGTCGTGTATGGATGAAAGAGAAGTTTTTGAGAGGAGGGTGGCTGCGGTGAAGTCTGTGGTCGAAATGCCGCGGTTTCATAGAAATCAAAATCGTATTTCTCCCGAAGACTGGAAAGAGGGTAGTAATTGATAATGGTTTGCGAGTGCGAGAGGGGAGGGCATCTGATAAAAATGCTAATTCGCTGAACTCTATCGTCTGGCAGTTTTTAGACTCGTCGCGTCACGCGCTGTTATGAGCGATGTACAGGGCTATACTACCGTCGCTTACAATCGATATCATACGATTTAAGTGCTTCCAAAGCAAACAAAAAATAAATAAATAAATAAAACCTTTGGCGAAAATTGTTTTTCAAAATCCAATTAATCCACGAGCGTTGAATAACCCCATTATCTTCTGGCATTTATGCGTTTGTTTCGTGACAAATTTTATTTTTATTTTGGTTGGAGGGAGGGATGCGATCACGTGTATTATCTTGCTATCACAGATCTGATTATGACCTTATCGAATACATAAATATATTGATGATCAATAAATACAATCTGACACGAATACGCGTAATAAACTCGGAAACAAATTCAATCTATTGAAGGTTACGTGGTCATAATATTAATTCAATTAATAATATTTTGTTACCTACATTTGTATCTCCGATCGTTACAATCACACCATCACCGAAAATAAGTTATTATTTAAATAAATTCATAGCTCCGCTCAGAATCTAAAATCACTATATCTATTTTATAATATAGTTTCCACCAAACACTACATTATTTTATAGCCGACTGGATACAATTCACGATATTCGTGATGGGATAATATCAATACAATGTATTTCAAAATAATACATCTGCTATAATAACTTATAAATATTACAATATGATACACTTAGTACGGAGCTTTACTTCATACATTACAAATATAGATAATGCGTTGTGATACACATACAAAATACCAAGCAAAATATATCATACATATAAAATACTAAAAAATAAAAAAAAGAGAGACCACGCACAATAATGGAACCTTTCTAAGTGAAGGTTCGTTGATTTTTGGAAGACCAATGAAACCAATGTCTCTTTAAACGTTGATTGGATTACGTCAACTACCTAGAGTTGTTGCAGTTAGATTTAAAATTAATATTTTAGGGTGAGACTGTAATTTTCTGTTGAAATGTATATAATATAGGTAGTTGTTTTTATGTACGTTGTTTTGATCCATATTTAAATCTTGAACATATAATTCATTCAGCAATTCAACAGTCAGCAATTCAACAGTCAACAATTCACTATTTGCAATATATTATTTACCATTATAAATTATACCAATTCAAGTCAATTTTTTTCAATAGAAATCATAAGCTTTTAATTTATATCAAACAAAACATAATATTTTTAATCTATGGAATTTACAATATAATTTAGGAAAAAAATTAACTTGAAGTGAATATAAAATTAGTTTACTGATTAGTAACCACATAGCATGAACCCAAATTAATTTGTTAGATAAAAAATTACATTTGAATTAAAGTTATTCTTTATGCAACTTACCTAGCTAAAAGTAACCTAATGTTTCTATTTATGTTAAATGAAAAACGGTTTAAACTCGCACTCTTTTATTCAACATTTACATAATATTATCATGTTCAAGATTTTGTATTATTTAACGATCGTTGAAATCAAATGAAAATCACCACACGGATGATTATTTGATTTCTGGAAGCCCACCCCCATTGAGTCTTTATTTTTATTTATTTTTTGTCGCTCGCAGGTAAACTCATTATACCCTTGTGTATAATAATATAATATTACTAATACCTACCGTCGGTAATGCTGCCGTGGCGAGGTACCGATTTCAGATTAAAAACTTTCTAGGGTTTTTTTTCGTCACCGATTGCATCGATCGGCTCCGATGGGTGTGGACTAACGAGTTTGACTGTTTATTGTTTTTGTTTATCGGATTTATCTGATTTCCCGTTAATTCATCTATCGGCGTTTATTTATTTTAATTTTTTTTTTGCACCTTATCGATTTTACGAGTTTAAGTTATTTTTTGTCATTACTCGCGCCCCATTTCATCATAACGACGCACTCGAAAGCTTATTGAAATTAAAAGCAATAACCTGCGCCTTCTTGTATTTATTTTGGACTTTGCAAAAAAGACGCCAACGACAAAATGTAACCCATAACAAAAGGCTCTTAACAATGTGCTTTAATTTTTAAACTCGAAGAAGTTGTGTTGAAATTTACATATTCTGTATACTTTTTACTTTTTACTTTCAATACGCTAAACAAAAAGCAATAATACCATTTAAAATAATATGACTTTACCAATATGCATCTCTACATAATATACGTACTACTATTGTGGTTTTAATTATCTTTGAAAATATTATGCTCTAACAAAGAAATTATTATGAACGAACATCAACATGATTTCCATACAATTTTAACACTTTTATCAATCTTTTTTATTTATTAAAAATATAATTAAGTTTGAGTTACAGTTGTATAGAGTTGGCTTTAACTTTTTTTTTAACAAATCGATTGATTAATTATAACAAATTAAAAATTAATGTCCTCTCATATTTTCTAATTCTATTGGTACACAGACACACACACACACACATACACATATATACATATAATATATTATATAAAATTGTATTCTTGTGTATATCAATTATTATTGGTTGCAATTTTAAAATCAAAAGTATTGGTATGGTTTTCACAGAAAACACAAAAAGTCGCTTAGAACTTTGGAAGTAAACATTTTATAGTAATTTAAAAATATGTTATGTTATTAAAAATGTAATTTATGAGTTAGAACTATTATATAGGTCTACTTTATAAAAATGTTCTTTCAAGAGCTTTCAAACAAGTTAAATATTATATAATATGCGTCTTCAGTTTAAAAAAAATATTATAATGTATCTAACCACACAGATAGTATTTCCATATTGTGATAAAGGTACGTTATAACAATAAAATATATATTATATAATATAAAATGAACGTCAGAATAGACTTTTGGTTACGTACATGTGTTATTACCATATATTAGGTTGCACTAAAAACTGAATGGACTCTTCTTTAAATATATATATCCTTTTCGCAGCACTCTAACCGAAGTATAATGGTTTTTCGTGAACACTTTGTTTAATTTTTTTTCATTCGCAAGCCGCATAAATAAGCATACTCCAAAGCTAAAGTTCTCTGCTGTTAATATAGTCGGAAGGTAAACTTCAACCCTAACTTACGGCGCACGTGCGAAAGCGTTATAAATAATACTCGTTTTGCCACAGGAAATGAGACCTCAGACGGACTCTGCATTTGTTGTGTAGGAATCATCTGAGTTTTGATATTATTTCGGATTCAGACGTCAGTGCTTTTGATATCCTTTAAATTAAGCGTCACGATAAGACGCAATGAAAATGTCATACTAAAGCATGGTAGCTGAAGTATTATTATATTATTATCTTTAGCCATATATATGAACAACACCGTACCATAGGTGTATGATGTTCCAAGAATTTAAAGATCTACACTAAGATTAAAGGAAAATAAAAATCATCTCTCACCAAGGTCCATTTTTTTAACGATCACACTGTCAAAACTCCCAAATCCCAACGTGATTGTCTGAAGGCATTTATTTGATGGTTATAGCTTAGGTACTTACATAGTATATTATGCATATTGATTCAAATACACCTAAAAGAGAATTGGGTATAGTTGAGATAATCCGTAGTGCATTTAGTATTATCTATTAATATTAAGTAAATTAAATCTATATCGTGAAAATTAAATTCAATATCACTTAGCAATGATGTAATTTGCCATTTGAACATTAAACATAGGTTCTAGTCAGCTAGAGAGAAATAGCTATTGATAATGGTAAACTAAGATATAATAATAAAATATGTGACTTTTAAAATGTGTATTTCGACATCAAAGCAATTTTAAATGTATCCAACTACCTAAAATCATTAATGAGATTAGCGAAATTTAAATCGATAATAACTGGGTGCAATTTCAAAATAATAATGCACTATGCTATTCTATAAACCTACATCCTATTAATTGCAATATATACTTAAAATAATTTCGTATTGAGATTTTCATCCAGACATATTTGGTAATGGAAAATGTATAGGACGATAAATATTTAAATGTTTTACGGTGATCTATTTGGTTTTGGCCTACCACTATAATGTATCTTTGCTATTAAATCCAAACGCTTGTTCACAGGTTACCAATGACGTTGTGGTACAACAGCAACAACCACATTCGTCCCATCAGCAAACTCAACAAGAACAACAGCAGCAGCTGCAAGTACAACAGCAACAGCAGCAGAAGCAGCGTCCAACGCCGAGCGCACGAAGCCGGAGACGGTTGGCCAAAGTTTTGGTAGCACTGGCCGGCGTGTTCGTCGCCTGTTGGTTACCGTACGCCGCTGCGTTACTCTACGCGAACTGGTTTTTTTCGTCACCACAAGACGGTGACGTCGACGAAAACGGTAACAAAGGCGACGGTGGCAGCAGGCACACAGTCCAGCAGTTGGCCACCGTGGCCGCTATGCTGCTGGGACACGCCCATTCAGCCGTCAACCCCGTGGTGTACTGGTGGCTGAACCGGCACACGTTAAGCGCCTGTCCGTGGTGCTGGTCTTCGGGTGATCAGTTTGATGACGACGATGATGACGACGGTGCAGGGTTCGGATGCGGAGCATTGGGTTGCGTAGTCGGCGGGGCCGTGATGGCGTTCGGATGCGGCCGGGGCGACGGCAGTTGCGGTGACAGCGGTGCCGTCGATTGCGGCGGCGGCACCGGTTGCCGGCAGTCACAAAACCACACGCCTACACGGCTCAACCGATTGCTGTTCCACCGACAGCCCAACAACCACCAGCGCAGCCGCCAACCGTCGTCCACCAACGAAGCAGCCCTGGGCCCGTTCAACCCTAGGTTCGCCACCCCGAAGAAGCGGCCACAACAGTTGCCCGTCGTCAAGAACCCTGTCATGCTGTATTACGCTTAAATTACTGTTCGACCCCACACCGGTCAACCCATCCCACCCACAATGCACAACACTACCCGATCCCCGTCTGTCACAGGTTCTATCTCCTCGTTTACACATCATCGATATGTAACTCAAAGCTTGACGTTACTGAAACGATGACCCACATCTACCACCACTCACATACATGTCCGACATTCCTGTTACAATCATTTTGTTGAACTTGTAGGTCCACTTGACACGTCCACATCCCAAGAACGTAAAACAAAATTGCCAAGTCTGGGGCCTGAAATAGAAAAAAATAATTTTGGAAACAAAATGTTTCTAGATATTTTGCAAAATTGCTGGATACGAATAATTTGTTTTTATAAATTTGATTTGTAGTCGACAGGGGTGCTTGCTTGACCTCAGATCTCAGACTTGTCATGAACGATCTGTGTACATAACGGTGAGCCTGTAGCCTCTATGAAAACTTATTTGTTATCAGTGCTATCGCGATGCCTCGACTCGGTGGCACTGAACTATATAGTTATACTGTTTATAGTTTTGTGATCAGTGGCTACTTTATCCTATAATTAATACCTTGAGATACATCTTTGAATTTAGTTGGTGATACTGGGTAGGTCAAAATATAATATAATGCTTATAAACACATACAAATTTAGATTTGATTGTATGTAAAAACTTGTGCAGTTGTATACCTACATCGTGAACTAATATGTTATATTGTGTTTTATATTAAACAACAAAGCAACACAATAGCTCTAACTTGGTACAACTCTCAAGTACCTATTAAAAAGTATGTGTAATTCAGTAATTTTTTGTTTCCCCATAATTTGTAATCATAGTCACTTAGCAACCACTGTACCTCGTCGAGTATGGAAGAAGGTAATCTTCCACAGGTAAGTATTTTGTGAATTCGTGTTGGTACGATCGTTGTAGAACGAAGCGTTTATCGGAGTGTTTTTTCAAACATATTATGTCGCAGTCAACTTAAAAATACGTTTCTATTTTATTACTGTAGATACTTCTGTTGCCAACGAAAAAATCATTTGGAGTGTCACGATTCACATCTTAGTCACTAGTTTATCTTAGTATATTATCGTAATAATATTATTATACTATCCTTATTCTGTTATTAATAATACAAATTTTAAATGTGTTTTAATGGATATTTTCTGTATAATTAATTCGTTGTTTGTGTATTTGTGTAAACTATTTTCAAACTATATAATATTTATGCGTTTTGTGATTTTTCATTTTAATAAGTGTAAAACACTCTGATCAATATGTTACTCTACGTCCAATTTAAAGATTTTTATTGTGTATTAATATAAAAACATTATAGATCAAAAAATGATATTATAATATTTATCATTAAATTTGTTGTGTGTCGACTTCAGTCTATATGCAAACGGACTTATACTTTGCATGAAGTTATTAAATAAGAATTTAAATGAAGTGTAGTTTAGGTATAGTATATTAGTATATTATAATGTTAATCATTCCGTTATCGACCAATATGTTTTTTGTTTGATATTTTTTCTCTCGGTCAATTATACTAATTATTGTTTCTACTTTCGATGGATACACATTAGATACCTAACGGAAAGGTAGTAGGTATGATGAATTCGTCGAATAATCTAATCGTTCATTCCATTCGACGTTAAAGCCAATAAATCAAGTGCAAAAAAATACACGATTTGTATCGTGATCATTATATCTGCATAAATGTATAATACGTTGAAAAATAAGTTGTAAGAATTTGTCCAGTTACATGATTTCCAATATTATACAATTTATCGACTGATCGACTGATCGACTGATCGACTGGTAATACAATTTACGTTTTTGAGCGTACGGTACTACATAACTATTGCGATCGACTTAAACGGATATCCAGGTCCATTTGGTATAATATATTATAAGAATACTGTTATTGCATGTAAGACAAGCGCCAATCTCCATTTTTAAACGTATACTGAGAATGGGAATATGATTTGTCGATTTACTTACATTCGTGTGCTTTACCTGTATCCGTCAATAGCTTTATCTGAGGACTATAATAATATATTATACGGCGGATTGCCCACAGATATAAATAAAACATTTCCGTTTAAGCGATTCTTTTTGAACGGGGAAATAAAAGTATAGACGTACAAACACGACGAATATATTATTCGTATCGAAAACACAAAATTCGAGTCTGTTGTAGTGCATAATGCAAATTGTATTGCCATCGTTGGCGTCAGTAGTATTAATTTATTGGCCGAGGGATCAAATAATCATTCCTCCTCGCGTATTTCATAATTCTCGTATACATATGTAGTTATAGTATTATGTGCCTTCCCAGTAGTACTTACACCACCTATACACACCTTCACTACACTACAGTCTACAGGGTCCAATTATTATTATTATTATTATTATTATTATTACATAATATATTTTCGCGTTACTATATTTTATTGTTCTATACACTCGAATATTTCTGTGATATAATAAATTGTATCATTCGGTACTCGGTAGTACAACGTTTCGAACAATCATTCATTGCACTGGCAAAAACAAAACAATACATTTCTATAATAAAAATTCTCGTTAAAGTAATATCGTTATGGTTTTTTGGACGTTTATTAATACTATCATCCGTGACCTACGACCACGGGTACCATTGGTTTCTACCCGCAGTCTGTTTTTGTAGGTACCTACTTTTTTACTGAGGCATTTTATTATAATACGACGCAATAAGACACCCAATCGACATTTCTACGTTATATTATTATATTTCACTTATAAATTATATTCTATGCATTGATCACACTGTGCAGTTTAAATATTATATATAACTACTTATCGTACTTGATTTTATAATATAATATTATAGCATAGGTATTATAATATATGTATTGTGTATACTTATAAGTATTATATCATTGCGTCATTGTAACGTCTATAGATATGTGATTTTTTTTCAATCTTCCTCGTTCCTTTTGATAATTTATTTCATATATTATTATATCGCTGTACGGTGTATTTTATAAAAATATTATAATATTATGTAATGTATGATAATAATTATTAAAAATATAATATATTATATGTGTACTGAAACTGATGTATTATATTAATTATTTCTAGTTATAAATATAGCCAATATAGGTTACTTTGATATTTTGGCAGAATTCCGATTGAGCACCCGTAGGTTTCTGCCTTGGCCGGTCGGGTGACGGTGGCCTCTCTCTCCAGACAAAAGTCTGCCTGGAGAAAAGTGCCGTCCGCAATCGCGAAGTTCAAACCGAACGCGATGTTGCAACTGACGCCTTAGTCCACTCGGTCACTTCGTCCCCCAGATTGATTATTATAATGCATAATTACTATATTGTATAAGTACCCACAATGAGTGCTCAAAAAAAAGGTTGATTCCAAAGCTCGATGTTCTTATTTTTTAAACATAGTAAAACGACAAAATAAGAATCTGCCCGAGTCATAAACTAACAACGTTATAATCGACATACAAATCGTCAATTCATAGGCTCTGATGCAACCGCAAAAAATGTGCCATATAGACCATTATCTGGATCTTGCAAAAATTTGAAATACAGTAATGCGCTCAATTATAATCCTATATATGCTATTGCAAACTAAAAACCTACATATACAATACCCTCCGTGGCGATGAAACATGAAAATTAAATTGGTTTTACACTTTTACGTGAAGTAGGCTGTATTTTATTCTTGAATAATATACATTTTACTTACTAGGCTGGATAAGATTGGACGTGCATAAGAAAACTACAAGAAAGGTTGGTCAGTTTTGTTGCATTTGAACCAAACCATATCAGCCAAATTTCCTAAACTCCCGATCACAAAATGTATGACATTTGGGACCACCGGCGGTTAATATCTTATAACTTGTATTTTTTATCTTATATCTCTTTTCTCTCTTTACTCTTCTCTCTAATAATACACTTGAACTATTACTATTATTATCACCGGATCCTCATTTGTCTAATCTCTTTAACCGTTTTCTCTACCTGCTTCCATAATTAACTTTTCAATATGATGTTTTTCAACATAAATATTTTCCTGAACTTAAGAACTGTAAGTGAGATTAAGGTATTCATTTATTTTTTAACTATACAGACCGAACCTCAACGAATACAAGAATAAGGGCATAGTACCTAACAAAAAATATTACTAATTAGCCTACTTAATGAAAAATAAAAATAAAAAATGATGTTTGAACTTGAAAGCGGCGGGGGGAGGGGGGTCTTCGTCTGAATAGAGAGTATAATAATTCATAGAACTTAAGAAAGAATAATAGAGAATTGAATATGGGAACTTATCTGGTGAGTAGAACTCTGAATTAAATTTTTATTAAATTTTCATTTATTGAAATATTATGATAATACATACATTTTTTAGACTAATAATAAATGACTTATATAAAATTTAAATGGGACATTACTTACGATATTTCACTTATTTTCATAACTATTTATATTTTTTGTTCTTATCTCAATTAACCGCAGATTTCTTCAAGAAATTATGTTCATATATGTAAGTATTTAGAGTCGAACCAGAAGAACCAACTTCCAGGGTTTCGTGTCTCACATATTCATATTATGAACGTGAGCAAGCTGGGTAGACTACACGTTTGGCGTTTGTTCATAACATGTGTAGCATGAATAAGGTATAGTTGTATAGCTCTTATATTATTATACAATAAAACAGCATACACTAAGTACGTTATTCGGTACTGAACGTCGATTTGAAACGAATGGAAAATGGTGGTGCAGAGTGAATGCGCGAAGTGGTGCCGTGAGTTTCCGACGGAACAAGCGTCATTCGTGGCACACTTATGAAAGCTTTTGGGTGACGGATTATGCTTTGTTTGAATTCAACGTTCTGTACCGGATAACTCTGTCACCAAACGCTTGCAAAAGTGGGCATCGAACGACGCTTGTTCCTTTTGAAAATTGCGACACCTGCAGTTTCCGTATTCACTCCACAGTCTACACCAACATTTTCCACAGCATATAATATTTCATACAGTGGCAAACCGTGGGCAATTTTAGTTTAAAAATCTTCAAATTATTTTTGGAAAAAACATAAAAATGGTTAATCGTAATTATATTCATCCATAATTACTAATTTTAAACTGAAACATAAATACAGACATACTTAACTCAGATATATTTTGGAACAAATATCGTTATTGAGTCAGAATTTCATTTGAGTACAACAGTTTATTTAGTAAGGTACTTACCATAATAAAATAGTACATTTTCTACATTACTAAATATTATTTTATACTGAAAACGATGTTTTTAGTTTTAAAACTAAATAGAAATTCAGAAGAATTGTTTAACATTTTAAAAATGTTACGCATTTTAGATTGTAATTATATGATTATATATTTACAGAACTCTTAAATGTAACAAAAAAAATTGAAACTACATGTGCATACTCAACAAGGTCACTTTAATATTTTATACTATGTTTAGCAATTAGTAGGTATACATAATATTTCGTTATACTTATGTGTTCATCGCCTTCGGTATTGTTCAGCCTTGTGAACTTTATCATATCAAATGGTTGAAAGTAAGTATGAACAACAAACATGGCAGTTGTATATTAATATATTCCTATATGACCCCAATTAATTATGAGTTAAATTATTATTATGTTTTTAATTTCTTAGCCACATGTTACACATAGAATATTTATCAATTATGATTTTGTTATTCATATACCTCTTCAATTATTTAATAAAATATTGAAAAAAATACTAAACATTCTACATTTTTTTTTGTTTTATCATCAGATATATTAAAATAATATTGTCGCACACTTAAAATCACGTTAATTGTAATATAATTGTTTGACAGTTGGATGCGTTAAGTAATTTGGAAAAAATACCATTCTGGGCTCGTGTGCTTAAAATGTATTATTATATTAAAATAAGTAATGTTTCTTATTTTTAAGTTTTCGAATAACGAGGTATAATATATCTTAGAATCGTGTTATACGGTTCGTGAAAAGCATATTTCTTGTTATAAAAATAATCTGTATTCTAATATAGTATAATAAATAATAGACATAGTCATTGTAACGTGTTGATATCTAGTCAATACTGCATATTAGTAAACTTTAACTATTTAATTCGTTCAGAGGGGTGTGAAAACTTGCAGTCAGATTATTATTATGCGAAACAAACATGGAAAAAGGACACATCAATATTCGGGCTAATTATGGAGGTACCTACGTTAATAATTACCGTGCAAATGCGTTCTGTTATGACAACCACACTGTGTACTTTGACCTTATACTGTACATATTTGAAAACATTTCAAAAATACACAAGTTATTTCTAGTATATATAGGCAGTTACATACAAAGAAATAAAAATAAGAAATGGTTATATTTTATTGAAACGATGCGACAAATGAGCTTCAGCGCCAAAATAATAATAATAATTTATATGAACCCCTTTTTTCGAGTGGATATAGATATACATTTTTTCCATTGGTTCGACGTATACAAATAAGTATACTTAATAATATAGTCGTTGTCCACTCGTTAAAATTTCCCTCGATAAACCTTTTTATTTTCTGAATTGATTAGGTACGTTATATTTGTCCTTTATTCTCCAAAGGATATGTTGCACTGTTAGTGAAATCAATTTTATATTACACTTATGTTTATATAATGGGTTTATTTTGTAATAATTTGTTATCCCCGTTCTTTGATGAAAAACAAAATACTCGTCTTAGAATTGTGTTATATAACATGAGCTTAGATACGTATTTTATAAGTTGAACTGGGTGTAATAATAGGTATAATCATATGGGTAGAGTATTAATAAATTGTGATGTAGTATTAACTTTTTTTTTTCAGAAAAATATAAATTATATAATATCATTTTTAATAGATTTCATGTTATAAAATAAAAGCCGTAATTATATAGGTAATCTTGGGTTTAAGGTTTAACTGATCTTATATTATTCCCTAATTGAATCGGTCATTTCAAAAGCGACATAAGTCATAACATATAACTTTTTAACAAAGCACTAATACCTTAATATCACAAGCAATTGACTTGTGTTGTTTTTGCTATAATTCAAGTTTCTTGAAAACGATATTTGTATTAACTATAAGTCAGACACATTTTGTTTTTACACAGAATCCGTAGCTATGATCATATTATATTTATTAAATTAACGAAAATAATTTTTGTAAAAACGGTGTTTTAAGTCGTTTTAGAAGTCACCGATTACATTTCTATTATTTCCCACCCAAAAAGAAACGGTAACTATTAACTGTACCTACATATTATGTTTAATTATCACAACCTTAACCGACTGCTCTTGGACGAAGACCATTCACTATTTAATGACAATGTTCCAAGTTAAGTACAATA